ATTCCTCTTGTCCTGTTGCTCAGCATCAAAAGAGCCAAGATCCATCCTCTTGACACACTTCTTTAGATATTTGTACACATTAATGAGGTCCCTTAGAGTTATCTCCTTAGAGGCTGAACAGCCCCAGCTCCCACAACCTTTTTTCGTCACAGAGATGCTCCAGTCCTTTCATCTTCTTGGCTGAACATCCCCAGCTCCCACAGCCTTTCCTCAACACAGAGATGCTCCAGTCCCTTCATCTTCGAGGTTGAACATCCCCAGTTTCCACAGCCTTTCCTCACCACAGAGATTCTCCCGTCCCTTCATCTTCATAGCCTCCGCTAGACCCGCAGCAGGAGCTCCACGTCTCCCTTGTCTTTCAGAGCCCAGACCTGGACACAGCAGCCCAGAGGAGCCCCACCTGGTCTAAAGAGAGGGGCAGGATCACCTCCCTGACCTGCGGGCACGGCTCTTCCCACAGCCAAGGCTTCGCTCCGCAGGCTCCTCCTCCGCGGCGGGAGGGGCCGAGGCCGCCGGGTCCCGCCGCGCAGCTCCGGCGGCGGGCGGCGATCCGCAGCCGCGCCCGGCCCGCTCGGCTCGGCAGGCTGGCAGCCGGAGGAGAAGGCAGAAGGGAGGAGGAGGCAGCGGCGGTGCCGGGAGCAGCAGCCCGGGGTAGGCTGTGCGGGCGGCCGCGCACCTGCCGAGCCCGCGGCGGGGGCGGAGCGGGGGCGGCTCCTGGGCCGCGGGGCCGCTCGGGAGCGGCGGCCGGGCCGGGCCGGGCTGAGCGGAGGAGCGGCGGCCGCGGGCTCAGGCGTTCTGTCACTCTGCCGGCGCTCCGCCGCCTTTGTCTCCTTTTCTTCCCTGTTTATTTTTCCCCGGAGCCCCCATCCTGCTGGACGGGGAGGCGCTGCTCGGTTTTGGGGGTGGCACCGCAGGTCGGTGCCGCGGGGCTGCGGTGGGACCGGGACAGAGCCCGGCCCTGCCCTGCCCGTGGGTCCCGGGGGAAGGCGGTGCCTGTCCCTTCGCCTGCCCGGCTCCGCTGCCCTTGACCTTTGGGATAGCCGGAGCCGCCCTGATCGCTCTGCGGGTCCCTAAGCATCGTGAACCTTTCCCCTCCTTTATTAAATACAAGGAACGCGGCTATTTAAGGCGCCGGAGTGATGGATTTGGCAGGTCCTGGCTCAGGTGCAGAGCTGCCGGGTATTAAGCGCAATTTGCATTTGATCCGCGTGTGTGCGAAGGCGTTGTGAGCCCTTAAGGTCACCCCGGGGAGGGTTTGGTAACCCGGGGTCTGTACAGACATTGACAGAATTCAGCTCAGGACCTTCCCCCTGCCTGCCCAGCATAGCTGAGCCCGCCTGTGCCGTGTTTGCAGGGTTTGGAAAAAGCCGCTCCCCGCTGGCTGCTTTCCTGAAATAGGGAGGGAGGAATGCTTCAGCCACTGCAGCGAAGGAGCAATAGCAAGTTTGGAAGGTAAATATGGTTTCAAAGTAAATACGGGAATATGGCTTTGTGCGTTGTGGTACAGCAAGGAGGAAGTGGAGGGTTGGTTTCGCTGTCGGCAGAAATAGTTGGTGAAAATGAAAGAATGTAAAACAAGTTTGAGTTGGTTTTCCCATTTGAATGGGACGTTGTCCTTGGCTGCATCAGTAAAACTGAAATGTATAAAATTGTATTCACGAACTACTGGTTGTGTGTTGTAGCTTATTAGTGTGATTTCTGAAACATAGCTTGGTTTTTAAAATCTGCTTAATCTCCAATAAAAGGTGAAATTTACAGCCTGCTATCACAAGTTTTATTGCCACAAATTTCTTTGCTTATGTGTGATGCCTTGAGAGCAGAGGCTAGACACTGTTAAAGGAATAAAGTAGGGATTTATTAAAAAGGCCTTCAAAGGATACACCTTGGGCAGTACAAGAGCCTGGCTGGGGCTACACCCAAGATGCTCACAGCTTTTCACACTTCTGTAAGTTTTGGTCCATTTCCATATTGGGGTTAATTGTCAATTACAGCTTCAGGTTATGAAGTCCCATCCTCCCAGATTGCTCTCCTTAATTAACTGTTTATACTTTTTGGACCTGAAGCTGCAATGGTTCTTGGGCTGGAAAAGGATTTTTTTGTCTCAAAACACTTGCTAATACTTTATATGAAGTTCAGAGTTCTATACTAATGCAGTACAGAATCTGGAAAATATGAAAGTTAAAACTTAAGGCATCATCTGGAGGATATTTTTTATGTTTATTAAAATGCACATGAATGTCAGAGGAACTTAGAAATATGTGGAGACAGAAACAAGTTATTGAGATGTAAATAAGAACTCAGGTGTTCCAGCCTGCAGTACATAAAATGAAATCAACTCCTGTCAAATAGAATTAGGCTGCAGTTCTCACTTTGCTGCTGATAGTCCAGTCATCTTTGCTGGGAGTTACTGGGATCCTTGTGAGGGGATTTATCCTGAGGATACACTGCTGGGAGGTGGTGTGAGTACAGTCTGTGCAGCAGGTGCACAGATGTGCAGCCTGGCGTGACCGCTGAGCACTGAAACCTTCTGTAAGATGTGTGAAGTCTTTTCCTGCTTGCACTAGAGTTGTTAAATAGTAACTTGCTGAACAATTGCTTTGCTATAATGATGATTGCCCTGTCCTATTATATTTTCAGAGAACTGTTTTAAGGAAGTGTTTGACCTCAGGTGTTTGTTCTTTGCTGGCTTCTCGAGTTTTTTTCCCCACTAGGTATTTCTGTCAGCTCAGTTGGTGTGGTTGGTGAAATAACTTTGGTGTTTGGAGAGGACTGTGAGAGAGGAGAAATGGGGTTTGGGATCACCCTGAAGTGAATCTGTTACTGCTGGAGGAAAACTTCACTCCTGCTGTGATCTACTTGTGCCAACTCTTTCTCTCCTTACCTTTTTTCTCCTACTTGGAGCTATCTGTGTTTCATTTCAACCAAACACAGACTACTGATGAGAAATAGTTGTTTTGAAATTGGAATTTTGAAATCTGACCTAACTAGCCAGCTGTGGCTGTAAGGGGCAATCCCACTTTTTAATCCTTGTATTTATGCCCCTGCTGCCTTGGATTTATTCTGTGTGACAGTTTTATGGCTATGGAATGAGCTAATATTCTCTATTGGCTCAGCTGCATTTCAGGGCAGGATTTCTGGGTGGATCAGGCACCTGAGCCATGGCTGTAGGACTAAAAGGTCTGACACAAGGAGGGAGGCAGGGATCTTTAGCTGGAGTTGGGAGAGGGGAGGAAGGGGTAGGGTTGCACTTTAACCTCAGCAACCTCAGAGAGGAGATAGGAAACTCGTGTTGGGCAGGAATGATTATGGGTTTGATTAATTGCACAATCTGATTCAGGGCCAGGAAGGGGGTGGAACATGCCAAACAAGATTAGCAAGTCAATTCACTTTTAGGATAGGAAGGTGGCAAGCTGAACCAGGACACTGTAGAAAAAATAGAGGTATGACAAGAATGTGTTAGCATCAAGGAGCAGAGCCTCGATCTTTTGGTGGGATACTCAGTTATGTAAAGAGGGGGTAGTGTTCTATTCCTGGGGAGAAAGCCTGGGTAGGTGCTGAAGCTTTCAGGTTGCCCGCTTGGACATGGCAGATCCTGTTGGTTGTCACTTAACCTGGCTGAGGACAAGCAGCTTTGATTTCTGTAGTGAGATGGGGCAGTGAAGATGAGAGGAGAGAGCCTCACACCTTCACCTGCCCTGTGGCAGCCCCTAAAATTCCCAGGTGAGCACCAGCTGTGGGTTTGGCAGTAGTGCTTTCATGCTTTCACTCACCTCCTGTTGTTTACCAGGAGAGCTCTCCCTGAATCCTACCAGCTTCCCATCAGGAGCATGGCAGTGACTTGGGCTGGCATTAAAGAGGGCTTGTGGGGTCCTGGGGGGCTGCCAGGGGGGCTGTGGGGTCCTGGGGAGCTGTCAAAGGGGTTTTGGGGTCCTGGGGGGCTGCCAGGGGTGTTGTGGGGTCCTGGAGTGTCCCTGGATCCTGCTGGATTTGCGCGCGTGAGTTGCGGTCACACCTTTTGCCCACAGCTCCTTTGTCCACCTGACTCTGCAGCTGAACTGCAGCCAGTTCCTGTTGCAGCACCTGGAATAAAATCTGGGGGTTTTTATTGTCAAGGGGCTTCAGCCCATGTTGGAACAAACAGCAGGAACTTTGTGAGAGCTCAAACCAAACCACTGCAGTCTCACTGTTCTCTGTGCACTGGGGACACACATGGTCCTGCCTTTTGCTGCTGTAGGGAGCTCAGGTGGTGAAAAATCTCGGTTTTTCCTTTTCCAAGGCTTTCTGATGATGTGGAGCTTTGTGCAGTGCTGATACTGGGTCAGGGAAATGAAAGAGGGAGTGCTGCTCAAGCCTTGCTGGTAGCATTGTTTAGCAACACCCACTCTCAAGCTGGAGGAGTCTCTCATTCCAGGCTGGAAACACTACAGCCGTTCTTGAGCAAATTGCAAGCTCATAAATGTTCCTGATGTGCTCAAACAGATCTTTGTGAGCTGAGGAGTTGCCTGTTCATAGCCATTCTGGGACAAAAGCTGAGTGTTCTGATATAAGCTGGCTTTGGATCAAGTTCTGAGTGCATCTTTCCTTTGTGTGTCCATTGCTTTGTACCATGCCAAGCTCTCAAACTAAATTATAAATTAAAAAATCAGAGAAGGCTGAAATTTATATAGGCTTAAAATTCTCCACTGCGTTTTTAATGTGAAGTTTAGTGAACGTGAATTACTTACCTCTGAAATGGATAATTGCTGATTCAATATTATGATTAGAAAATATCCCAATAACTCAACCAGACTGTTTACTTACCAGCTTCTCTTATTTGAAGATCAGCAGTAGACAAAGGCAGAGTGAAGAATTTGCCACGTCGTGACTGAAGGTAGAAGGAAAAAAGAAAAACAAACCTGCAAGGAGATCAGCCCAGCAGCAGACATTCCACATTTGTGGATTCCACAGGCTTTGGGGGATCTTTGTGACACTTCCAGAAGAACAAATAACGCACATCCATAATTGTGTCACCTGAAATCTGGTAGCAGCTGTGGTGTAGATGGCTCAGCTTCCTCCTGGGATCCGTTTCATCACTTCATTCTCACGAGATCAGTGGTAAGTCTGGAAGTGCTGGTGGTGATCCTTGCTGTGCACAGTGTGAGCTTGTGTCTGCTGCCTTGCTCAGAATTTTTGCTTTCTCGTTGTTTAATACATCTAGGAAGAACAATACAGGCAGTTGTTTAATAAATAAATATTGCTGACCTATAAAAAGTGAGATACTTTGCTGGGAAACCCAGACAGACCCTTACTGGTCAAGTGTGCTAAAGAGTAAAGCCTTTTGTCCTTTTCTGTGCAAGGTATGTGTTTGAAAGAATAAATTGCATTTTCAAGATCCTAGGTGGGAGGAGTGCTCAAGATGAGCATTCTTTTCTTAGCCAGAAGTGTCTTTTCTCCCCAATAATTTGAGGTGTGATGCAGACTTGTGCAATTACAGTTTTAGTTCTTGCTACTGCAATATTAAAAAAAGTAGAAACTACCAAGGCCCCCCCAGCAAAACCAAACAAAAATCAAATCCTCCTTGCATTAGGAAAACTAATCCTGGAAGTTTTATGGCATCAGTTCATGTGGTTCCTGAGATAGAATACTGAGTCAATTGTGTGTGAATAACAAAAAAAACCCCAACAAGTGAAAGAAAAAGCTCTTTCCATCTGAGCCATTTTATGACATTTTCACTAGCTGAGCAGCAGGAACAAAGTAATTTCAGTTTTATCCCTTGTGAGGATGTTTTCAGTCATGAGGGTTAATAACTCTGCTTGTGGGATGACTCTTTTTCCTGTGAATATGCCAGAATTATAAAACAAGACCCTGGTTATGTAGAAGTTCATAAGGCAAAAAATTATTGAAAAGGGTTAATTAAAAATCAGGGACTGTGGTAGGCAGTGTGATAATCAGATGTTTGTGTGTATATATGTACTTACATTTACAGATGTTAATTTTAAGATCAAGGCTAGAAGGAGCCAGGAGACACATTTTGGGTATTTTTAAAAGCACAAATCCACAAAATGCTATCCTTAAACAACTGAAACTATAGATAGGGAATAGAATAGATCAGATTATTATCTTTGTTTAATGCTTGCAGTGACAGTGAAATTAAGATGCCCTTTTAATTCAGCTGAACTGTAGAGAAAGACCCAAGGATGCCAGTGAGGCACAAAGGAGAACTCCTTCCCAGTCCCAAAGCTGCTCAGTTCTGTTCATGTGCTCCAGTGTCAGTCCCATTGTCCATCTCTGCAAATGACTGATTTCTATTAGAGGAAGGCAAAATCAAATCCTAGAAGCAGTAAGAACAGAAGGAATTTCCAAACTGACAATTAAGAGAGCCATCACTTATGTCTTAGCAATGCCACCAAACTCAAGGGGACAGGGAGGTGTGGAATCTGACTCTCAGTGTGTTGAGCTGATGTTTGATAATTTTGAGCTGATATTTAACAGCTCCCAAAGAAGGGTTGCACACCAGGCAGGTCAGCTCTGTGGGCTCAGGGCACTGCCACATTGTCCTGCCTGTCCCCATGTTCCTCCCAGGGCCACATCAGAGCAGATGGGAAGCAGCATAACTGGGAGGGTGCTTCTTCAGGCTGCTGGAGAGCTCAAAAGAGTTTTCTTCCACTATTCCAATATTATCAGTGACTTTTGTAATGGTTCTGTGGGACTTGGTGCTAAAAGAAAATCTAAATAAAATAGTTTTCAATTTTTCTTTATTTTTTATCATAGGTATAGAGCTTTCATTTTCTCTCTCACCTTCCTGCTGTATGCCAGCTTCCATCTCTCAAGGAAACCTATCAGTATAGTGAAGGTAAGAGGTGTTGTCCTTGTTCAAACATCCTCTTGCTCCTGTCAGACAAGGATGTTGTCTTTTTCAGTATTTCCTGTTGTGAAGGGCAGGGTTAACCTTTAACTTGAAATGCCTTCAAGATGAGAGACTGATAAAGCTGGCACACAGTGATATTTGCTTGATAAACTTTAGTGAGACCCCACCTAGAATATTGCATGTAAGTCTGGGTTTTGGGCTGGAAGCAGCTGTGCCTGCACTCAATTCATGTGAATGAATCCAATTAGAGATATTTGAGAGGTTTGCATTCTTATGGTGGAGAAAAGTTGCTCATAACTGATGAGTTGAACATTCCACTGGCATTTACAAGTGCTCCCAGTACTGTTGAGCATCATGGTCATCATTTTCTGTACTCTTGTGGCTGTTCCCAGTGAAGCTGATGGCACGAATTCTCTAATTCTGGGTTTGTTATTTTAATCTTCAGTGTTTATAACTTGCCAGACACAAACCAAATTCCCCAGTACTGCATTGCATAACACTGAGGAGTAACAGTGGGCAAAATACTTGATGTTACTGCAGAATTTCAGAGATTTTCACTGTCAGAAACACCAGTTCACTGGAGAATTTTTTTTCTAACCTTGTATTGGTGGCTTCCCTCAGCAATATACCAAGCAATTAATAAGGGCCAACAATTTTTCTTGATTTTGGTAGATTTGACACACAGGTACATACAAATCTAGAATTGTTAAATTTCTTGCTGTAGGAAAGTTATCAGTCCCCAATTTGCAAGTGAATTTTCCATTTTCAAAGGTCCTTTCTGTTTCAGGGAGAGCTGCATAAGCATTGTGCAAGTCAAGTTGAACTTGACTCCTACAAAGAATATGCAGCCCAGATCCAGCCTGTCAAAAAGCCATTTAATGCCTCTCAGTGTGGATGGGAGCCATTTGGTAAGGCTTGGCTTTTTTAGTTTTGTGTCTTTCTTTCCTACTAATGAGCTGATATTCATAATTAGAATATTAATTATTATATATTCATATTTAGCTATTTCTTCACATGTGAGGGATTTGTATGGAAGGGGTGTTTTGTTTTCCATGTCCTCACTGATTCTCCACAGAAAGTGAACTTTCCTTGGGATTTTTTGCTACCTAAAGCCACTTTAAGTGATGTTATTTTACTTGTTATATCTAAGAGATGATTTCAGTAGATCAGTTTTCAGTCAGAAAATGGGTTTTGTCTTTAGCATGTCTGCTTAGGAAAAAAGGGTGAAGAATTAAATCAATCATAATTATTTTCTGCTTGTTTAATTCAAGCAATCTTTTAAGTGAAATTACTTGGTTCTTATCTAAATTGGAACTTTGCAGAGTCCTTATCTGCCTGAAGGAATACATTTCTCTCCATTTTAATGAAGAAAAAGGGGAGACTTCATTGCAGGAGAGACTTGACAACTTACTGGATAGTTTATGAACCTGGCCTTTCACTTGAATGGAAAAAAAATATTTGTCTACTGGACGATTAAATTTTTAATTTAATCGTATTTGGCTTTAAATGAGACTTTGAATCATTCCTTGACACTTTTATTGCTCTCAGAACCCTCAGTGAAACAGATGAGTCCATTCTGTCAATGTGCCAGTTCACCCCAGTCTGTGTAGCCATACATTCTAATTAGTCTTTAATTAGCAATTTAAAAAAAAGTCCTGCTCTCTTCAAAGATAATTAAAGATCTGAGCTCTGGGGTTTCTGGGGACAAAATTCAGTGTATTAACCCCTGCTGCAGAGTCTACTGGAAAAATTCAATCCCCCAGGTGGGATGCACTTAAACCTGGGCAGTGTTTCTTGTCCCTTGACCAAGGGGGAATTGAGTCTGTTTGTCTGAAATATTGATTGACTTTTTTAAATGGAGACTTCTCAGCCCAAATGTCCTCTTTTTTCCATGGACATTATTGCCAAGCTGCCCCTTTGGACTGGCACTCTAGACTTGTTCTTTCAGGTGTTTTTCTGGCAAAGCTGGGAGTTTTGCCAGAAAAACACTGGAGGAAGGAATTTGCTTTAATATCTGTGACTTTGTGCTCAAAGCCAATAGAAATGGTGGCAATTTATTGCAAATAAATGCACAAACTGCCTGGGTATGAGCTCAGCTCCCTTGAGAGTTGACTTGGTGTTTCCATCAGGGTGGAGCCCCTTTGCTCCCTCTGTGCTGTCTGCAGTTCCCATTTAGGTGTGATTATGGTTGTTTGCTCTACAGGGCAGAACTCTGGGGTTTTTTTAAGCAGAACTTCTCTGTGCTTTGTGAATAGCTGGAAAATGAAATACAAAAGGCTTGATCCATTTTTAAAAAGTAACTTAATATTTTCAATATTTAAATAACTTAATATTTTGAGAAATATTAAGCTGATTGTTTAAAAGCCTCTATGATGATGGATTTTTTTATTTTAGACATTTTGACTGTTAGGACCTCATGCTTTTGCAACTCATCTTACCACTTTTAATCAAGTCTGTTAAATTGGATTTTGGATTTTCTTTTGCCTAAGGCCTTTAAAGAAAAGGGCACCTTTCTAATAACTGATGTTTCTCCTATTCCAAAATGGTGTTTTAAATAAGGTAGAGTTTAGCATGGGCTTGCCAATGTTTTCCTGATATATTAGAGGTAGAAGTGTATTTTTTTGTTAAATACAACATTGGTAAAATGTTTGCTGAAGTCTAAATGTGCCTATTGGAAATTGAATGTCAGTGCACATTCACTGACATTTTTCTTGTTATATGTAAAAATGGTTAGGAAATAATTAGTACCTTTAAAGTGACAATTTGTTTTGAAAATTATTCTTAGATAAGAGCAACTACAAACAGCTACTGGGAGCTCTGGATTACTCATTTTTGTGTGCATATGCAGTTGGGATGTATTTGAGGTAAAACCCCACTCTCTTTACTGTTTATTTATTAGATTATTTTACTTCTGTGATATTGTGCTTTCCTGCTGCAGAGATTGTGATGGAGAATGAGAAATTGATTGCTGAAGGGAAAAATGCCAGCATGATTCTGAGCCCCAGTGGTATCAATCTCTGATACACTGGAAGCTTTTCAGCTGCACCAGTCTTGACTGAATATTTTCCAGGTTGAAGTCTAGCCTGTCTTTTTTCATCTAGAATGTAAATTAATCAGTCAATCAATCTCCAGTCAGTCTCCAGATTGCACTGGTTGGGTTAAAATGATTGTCCTGGCTTTCTTTGGTCAAAGAATGGGAGCAGACACCTCCTAAAATGATACCAAACCCATCCTAAAGTGTGCAGTCTTAGCTGCTGTTTGGAGATGCTTCTTTTTGTTGACTAAAGCCAGAACTTCATGACTTGAATTGTTAGCAAGGGAGACAAGTCTCACTTTCAATGGCTGGAGACACATAATTGGGAAATGACTCTGTAAGTAAATGACTCTGAATATGCTCCAGATGAGTGTCTCCCTGAAAGATGCTTGTGCAGATGTCAGAATTTAGCAATTAATGAACTTTTGTTGGGGCTTTTTTCCCCCCCGTCAAGTGCTAAAAATTGCTTTTTTGCTGCTATGAAGGCAAGCAGCAGTTACCAGTAGAGCTCAACCAGAATTTTAAACACCACAAAATATCCTTCATTTGTGAAGGCTTTTGGAGTGTGATCTTGTTCTTAATGATGGCTTTTCTCTCTATTTCCTCCCCAATTCCAAGTGGACTCATCGGAGAGCGGCTGCCCATCCGCTACTACCTGACAGGGGGGATGCTGGCCAGTGGACTCTTCACTGCAATGTTTGGATTGGGTTATTTCTATAATGTGCATAATCTCTGGTTTTACATCATGGCCCAGGTAGGCACAGTGTGAATTTAGACACTCAGAGTTTCTCCCATGGTGCTGTTCAGGGTAATATTGAGGTTTTTCACTTGCACACAGTGATGGTTGGGTGGGAGGATGTAAATGCTGGAATGTCTTGTTGATGACAGGCAGAAGTGATAGAGTGGGTACCCCCAGGCTTTATTTTTGAAAAATGGTGGGGTTTTTTATTTAGTTGAAAGCAATTTAATGTGTTTCACTCTGTGTCAAATCAGCAATCAGATCTTTGCAAGCTTAAATGCGGGTGAGTTTTGAAACAAGCATGTTTACTTCTGTCAGTCTGCCAAGACCTGAGTGACACATCCTGGCTTTCTCTGCAGGAAAATTCCATTTACACTGCTAATGATGAGCAGTCTCCCACACTGGTGTGGCTGGGAACAGGCAGCTTATGTAACCAGGTTCACTGGGGGAGATTCTTCAGAGCTCTGATCAGGTGTCAAGAATTTTTACTATTGACCAAGATGGAATTTAGGTCAGGACCAGGCTAGGGTTGGTACTGGGGCCATTTTGGACAGGTCTGCACCTTGCACTGCTGCTTTCTCTGTTGTTGCAGTAACACTCTCACCTCTGGCACATCTGCATGGCAGTGAGCAAGGTGGCATGGGGAGATATTAACCTGGCACAGCACTTCTGTAACCTTGCCACCAATTAATCTGTGATTAACTAATAACCCCAGCCTGCTGGCATCAGGGGTTTTCCAGGACAGGAAATGCCACCTTTAGGGTTGAGCTGACTGTCTCTGCCCTGTGGGATGTGCTCAGTGAGCCCTGTAACTCCAGGGAGGTCTCACACCACCAGCCCCATTGGCTTTTGTTGGGTAGACTGAGCTTGGTTTTGGTTGCATGTTCAAATGCTCATTGTACATGTGAGGTTTTGTATTGTGATGTTTGTGTTATGGTGCAATTGTAGACAGGGAGCTTTTTGTGATGCTTTTAATGTTCTGTGCAATGTGGAGACTAAAATAATTCTTACTTCACCCTGAATATATTTAATTAAATTCCTCCTCTCAGTTTATTTACAGATGTCTGTTAAGCATTTTAAAGTTATCCAGTCTCCCCTAAAGTTGTCTTTTTTTCTGCTTTATTTGATTGCAAACATGCTTTGCCATATGCTCAAGTTGAGATAAGTGATATGCTGCTGCTTGACTGTGGGGAATTCACTTCTCTTTTCAGCTTAGAGCAGTGTGATTTTTGGTAAATATGTGACTGAATTACAGTATTCTGTGATTTAAATCATAAACTAATTATAGGTATGGAGGTAGAAGGAAGAATCTCTGCAAAACTTTGTAACTTGTTTCTTCTTGGGGGGGGAAGAAATGCTTTCAAAACCACCCACTAAATTTCTAAATGCAATGCATTTGTGTAGACTTCCTTTTCCCAATGCAGAACTTAGCAGGAATTGTGTAGGAACCTGGTTTATGGCAGGAAATGTTTATTTATTATTTTTTATGTACTTTCAGATAGCCAATGGGTTGGTGCAAACCACTGGCTGGCCAAGCGTCGTTACATGTATTGGCAACTGGTTTGGAAAAGGAAGGTAAATGATACAAAATCCACAGCTTTGCAAGTACAGATCAATGCATTCTGCCTGTGCTATTATAATATCTATTTAAATATCTTTCTTAGTCTTCTGTGGCCTTTTTTTTGGTGGTTTTTTTTTGGTTTTTTTTTTAAAGAAACAAAGCAGTTAGAATTTTGAGAGGAGCCTCCTTTGTTATGCTATTTAATTTATATATGGGTTTGAAACTGTCTCCCTCATGTCAAAACAGTGTTCTGTGGTAGCTCTTCTTCAGATGAATTATTTCAGAATTGTATTAGAATAATTCTTGTAAATATAAACAGTCTAAAACTACTCTTAGTAAAGGCTGTTATTATGCCATTTTAATGTGAAATTTCCTGTGTTTTCCTCTGTGTTGCAAAACAGTTGTCAGGGCATAACTGTAAAAAATACCTTTGTGTAATGTATTTTTTTTTCTAACACACTTACATAAACTTGAAAATTTAATTTAGAAGACAAAATACATATGGCAACTGATTTAATCTTTCTTTTATCACCTTCTTTAAATCATCTGCTTGGTTTGTTGTTTTTTTTTTTTATATTAATCCTGCACAGTGATCACTCACGATGTTTATTTTGTCACACCATAGAGTAATTTTCCATAAATTTTGCAAGAATTGCATGCCAAACCCACTGGCTTTGATAATGGTTGATGCATGTAGCATATAATGATGCTACTGTGGTACCATCCTTTGTCTGTGTAGAGCATTGTTGTTAATCAGTTCCAGAGAAGGATGTACTGAAATTCAGTATTTCATTTTTATATAAACCACAGGATAGTTAAAAAGATAGTTAAAAAGATGTAGCCTCAAACTTATTTTCCATTAGGAAATGCAGAGAATGGTAACTGTCATATAATATTGAACAAGACTGGGGAGTCTGTGCAAAATAAATACATTTATTCAGGCTTTGCTTTGTGCAAAAGCAGCATCCTTTACTTTTAGGATGCCACACAGTGGGCTGGTGAGTAGGGCTCTGGTTTAAATGTCAGTGACCTGGTCCTTGTTTTCATTCTGCTCTAATTCCATGAAGCATGAGCAGAACTCTTAAATTTTGTCTTCAGGCCATGGAAAAGATTCTGTTTAAGTTAGGCTGCTCCAGGTAAAATCCTGCTGAGGGCAAGGCAGTTTTCCCATGACTTAAAGGGAAAAAAAAAATCCTGTTTTCATGATTTCAGTGGGATTTTGGTGCTTTGCCTTAGCTCAGATGGAGCTGATGTGCAGCAGCTCTAATCTGGGATTTCCAGCAGACAGGAACCTGTGCTTATCCAAGCTGGTGCACGTGTCACCTTCTGCCAGAGCCCAGCAAGTCCAGAATGGGATCAGAAAATACTGAATTTGCTCCCCATATCCTCCACAGTTTGTTTTCTTCTGCATGACATGTGTTTTTGTTTGTTTTGGTTTTTTCTTTCTTTAATGCAGGAGAGGTTTGATCATGGGAGTAGCATGTAGCATGAATAAATGATCAGTTAAAGAATCATAATCTATATTTCACTGACACCTCAGCTGCACAGCCATTTTGTTACACTTTTCTCAAGAGATTAATGCTTGTAATGAATGTGTGTGTGTTTTGTTTGCTTTTTTCTAATGCAGGAGAGGTCTGATCATGGGAGTCTGGAATTCCCACACTTCAGTGGGGAATATCCTGGGATCCTTGATTGCTGCTTACTGGGTGTCCACGTGCTGGGGTCTCTCCTTTGTGGTGCCTGGGCTCATCGTGGCTCTCATGGGGGTTCTTTGTTTCCTGTTCCTCATTGAACGTGAGTGCTCCACTGGGACACAGCGTGGAGGGCTCAGCTGTGCCCCTGCTTAGACAGCTCCTTCCCAGGACCCTTGGTGGGGAAGAAGGCACCTGGTGGTCCTTCAAAGAGCTTATCCAGTCACAATCACTGAGGTTGGAAAAGCTCTCCAAGGTCATCCAGTCCAACTTTGACTGATGCCCACCCTGACCCCAGCCCAGAGCACCTCCAGGGATGGGGACTCCAAACCTGCCTGGGCAGCCCCTGCCAGTATTTAACAACCCTTTCAGTGAATATATTCCTGCTGCTGTCCAAGCTGAGCCTGCCCTGGCCCAGCCTGAGGCCGTTCCCTCTGCTCCTGTCCCTGTTCCCTGGGAGCAGAGCCTGACCCCCCTGGCTGTGCCCTGCTGGCAGGGAATTACAGACAATAATAAATACAGCAATAAAACACCCCCTGAGCCCCCTTTTCTCCAGGTGAGTCCCCTCAGCTGTTCCTCATCTGGTTTGTGCCCCAGACCCCTCCCCAGCTCCTCTGATAGAGTGACACTTGAGAGTTCAGCCCCCTGTCCTGTCACCAGCCCCCTGTGTTGGTAAATGCCTGCAGTGTCCCTTGGCTGAAGGTCCCACCTGGCTGCAGTGAATGTTCTGTGCTGCCATTCAGCCCCCACCATCATCATCATCCTCTGTGCCAGGAGTTACTGGAGGCAGCTGAGGGAGCAGCTTCTGACACTTCAAATTAGAAATGAGAGAGGAATGCCCCATCCTGTCCCTATGCAGACATGTGAATGTTTGTTTTACTGTAACTGTCCTGTCTCAGGAGGTGAATTCTGGCAGATAAAACAAGAATTCTGTAACTAGCTGGACTGCCAGAGTAGCACTTTTTACCTCTACTGTCAGTTTATTGTCAGTAAATTAGACTATCTAAAAGTGTTTCAGGAGATTTCTTAGGCTTGTTTTCACTATTAGCTCTGTGTGGTATTTTATTTCAGATCCTAAAGATATCAGTTGCTCCTGCACACCATCCAGTGTAAGTAAATGCATTTTCTTTTTTGCTTTCTGCCTCCTAATAGACACATTTATTAAGGTGGTTCTGTGAATCACATTGTGTGTGTGGCCCTTTGTGCCAGGCTGTTGTAACTGATGCTGTGCTTGAGGCAATGATTGGTTTTCTGTGCTTCACTGATAAACCAGGAGTTTCTCTCAAAGTAAATGAATTTAAGAGCTGAATTAATTTGTTTTGGAACACTTGATCTTACAGTAAACCAAGTGAAAACTGTCCATCTCTTTTTTTCTCTTTTTCTTGAGTTTTCTTAATTTACTTCAGTCTTCCTGAGCATCTTTGTAGGGTGTTTTGTTCAAGTATTTAGTATTAAGATAAATAAGTAATAAATATTATTTATTTATTAAGGATTTTAGAATGTTGTATCAGAGGTGGAAAGATTTCCCTAGGAAGTCCCAAGCTACTGTGTGAGATGATTCCTTTTCTGCCTCATGAACCCAAGAAGAGGAAGGCAATCCAAATGGAATTGGAGAAAAGTAAAAAGCAAGGAAAGGCAACAAAAAGGGCATTAGGAAAACCAGCTGTGTGTAACTTCTCATGACAGAAATGTCATTCCTGGCCCAGTTTTGTTCAGGACTGTGCTCACAGGTCGATTTTGTTTCATGTTCCCTGAGACTCTGCTCTGTGTTTGTCTCTACTGCAGCCAAAATCTGGAGCAGTTCTTGCTTCAGGCTCCAAGGAGCCCTTGGGCAATCAGTTCTGCCACATTTCCAGGTATTTTTCTGGAATAGTAGAGGGCATTGGCAGAGCAGGCCATGAGGTTTCCCATGTCTGAGGGCAATCAGGGCTGTTGGTGAAAGTCCCAAGGGAATCCCACATGGAAATTATCTGTACCTGTGGATTCATCTATGCCTTTTCTTTGCCAGTCTCACAGGGAAATTGTACAGGGTTGATTGCTCTTTTTTTACCCCCTAATGTTTTCAGATGAATGGAGTTTCACATTTTAAATGCTTTGAATAGGAACTGAAGGCAACTTTTCTAGTCTGTGTTCTTTCCTCTTTTCCAGTTATTTTTTTAATCTTCATATGAAGCACTTCTGATAAAGCTTCTGATTGCTTTTGATAGTCTGTGGAACTCCTTATTTTATTCCTGTGGGACAAGGTGGGCTCACACTATGCTCTGTATTTTTCCTTTTTTTCCTCTTTCATGTCTTAGAAGTAATTTCTGTAAATTGTGAGAGTATTTGAAGTGACTCTCATTGCCTGCTGTTAAAGAGTCCCATTTTCCTTAGATTTTATATAGTTCAGAGCATTGTTTTTATAGAATATCCTGTTAAGCTTTATGGAAATAAGTATTAATTTGTTTCAAATACACTTTAACTGGAGAGAGCATAACTAAAGAGCTCCTCACAGTATGTTGCTCATATGTCTCAGTGAGCTGGTGTGGAAAATTCTGACATGCAGTATCTACTTATCATGATACTTTTAACAAGTAATTTAGTATTTTAGGAGCAATTTCCCCCATTTGCAGAAAAGGAGGAGCATTTGACTCAGTCTTCACTAGAGCAGCAGCAAGGTCACTGCCCCAGGCTCATTCTCACTGTGTGGGATGAATTTGACCTCCTGTTTCCCTGGAAACCTCACTCTGCAGAGCAAAAGGCATCACTTCTTCCTTCCCTATTTCCATTTCACATCTGGAAATCTGGGAGGAGTTTACCACAGGGCTTCCCCACTTGCCTTGGACCCTTCTCAGATTGAGATTTGCCTTGTCCTGGGGAGCTTTATGTCATTGGAACTGCCCAAAGACTTCACTCCTGAGTGGTCTGCAAGGATTCTAAACCCTCGTGGAAGGGGCTCACAGCTTCTGTTCACCACAGACAGGTGACCTTAGAAATTAAGGAATTTAATTAGGTAGGAGTTCAAGATGTCCAGATGTAGATGTGGTGATGACAGTTTCTGACTGTAAAGAGAAGTGAGTGCTAATTGAAGGGAGGTTGATGTAGTAAAATAGGGAAAAATATTTGATCTGTGTTGTACAAGAGATGGAATTTAGCAGGTGTAAAATACTTGCTGTCCTTTTGGGTTTTTTTTCAGTCATTCTGGTCAACCTGAACAACCTTGTGTGCTTTTGCAAATAGTTAGGAATCTTTTTTTTTTTTTTTTTTTTTTGGTATTAAACACACACACTTGCTTTTCTCCTAAGGCTGTGGCAGGTAATTTTGGCCAGATGTCCTGGGTAAGTGCAGGCAGCTCTGCACTAAAAACTAAATCTCCTTGTGGAAGAATGAGGCCAGTTAAATTTAAGCAGCACTAAAATAAATGCTCAGCACGAGGGAAGGGTTTATATTAAGATTGAGAGATCACAGTCCTCTCTGTGTGATGCCAGTCTTGGATGAATTTGATCTAATGTTTATTTGCAGCATGGTCCTGAGCCCAATATTTCCACAGAGTTTGTAGTGGTGAGTAATCAGATTTCATTGAGCTGTCCAAAACCACAGATGGAGAGTCAGGCACAGAGCCTTGAGCGTGTGGTTCTTTCTCTTTATTCTCTGGTTTCCTGGGCTGTGCTTCATTTGCCTGAATTCATCTTGGCTCTGATTTACCCATCTGACATTTGTTTCCAGATAAATACTTGAGGTCAATAAAGTGCTTCTAAATGCTGGCATTGGAGGCTTAATCTTGACTTTCTGGAGGGCTGTACCTATGACAAATGCAAGTGAGAAGTCAGTGGGTGTTATTCAGAATTGCTGCACTTCCTTTATGAAAGTTTAAGAGGAGATTTGACTTTTTTTTTCCCCCTTTGGGAAATGTGATTTAGAACTGGTTTTATTGCTTCTCATATTTTCTCCCTGTGCCTTTTTCCCCCCATAGTTACATCATTTTCATACAAACTTCTCTTTGTACTCTAAGAACTTCCTTTGTCTCAACTTTGCATTCCCAGAAAACTTCCCTCCCTTAAACTCCTGCTGCAAAGTGCTTGTGCATTTAAAAATTACCAGGCTGCAATTTTTATCTCCTGGAAAGGAGGAAGAAGTTTAAGTATTAAATGTGCAGCCTCTCAGTCTAGTCCTTTTCCCCAGACATTTTCTCCTTAGTCTAGTAAATCTTATTTTTTGACAGTCAAATGAAAAAGTCATTCATTTTTCCTCTGCTGAGCTGCTGATTAAAAATGTAGATGACTTGTCTCTAGGTAATGGATTTTCTTCCTCGTGGATTCTTGTAAATCACATTTTTGACAAGAGCCAGATTTTCTGTAAGATAAAACTTAAAAATCTGTTTCATCAGACCCTGGGGGCTCGAGTGTTGTTGGTTGATTTTAAAGAATGCATGTCCAAAACTGCTTGTGCCTCAGCTCTGTACTGAGCTGCAGAATTGCCACAGTTTATCCTCAAAAGTATTTTTTTTTTCTTAGAAGGATTTGATTGATGAAGGAAAATTTGTGTAAAAAATACTGAAATACACACTCTTGATTTTTTTTGGCGGGGGGGGAAGAATTACCCAGGAGATGGAAAGTTCTAAATATACACAATTATTTACAAAAATCAGTGATTGATTTTGAGCTGGAATGTTCAGTCAGGATTTGCATTCCTTTTTTATTTGTGAGCTTGAGGAGGGGGTTATTAGGGGCAGAGTTTGTAGGGCTTTTTATTGTTCTGTCTTGATTTTTTTATTTTTCACTGTGGCATCCAGTGTTGGTTAGACCCTTCAGCATCTCATCCCTGAGCAATTCACAGTGCTTCTTTTGGACTTAGCAATAGGTTGTCCATACCTGACTGCAAGACTACTTTAGAGCTGTATGTTTAATTCAGCAGACAAATCTGAGTGTCCCTGGTAAATCTTTTTAAAGATCTCAGAATGGTGTTTTCCAGTGAATGCAGTGAATTCCAATGAATTTTGGTGTGAACTAACACAGGAATGTACTTGTTAATAAGTGAGGATAGAAAGCAAGTCCATCAGGTGCCTAAAATGTAGATTTTTGTGTCATTTTTTTCTTCTGGAACTTGCTGGAGTGATCAGACTCCTCATCAATACTCCTGCCCACAAGAATTTATGGGCTAAAAGAATTTAGTCTTAGAGAATATAAGCTAAATGGATGAATTTTTCTTTTAAAGGGATTAAGAGAGTGAAAAATCAAGGTTTTTATGAAACAAATCAACTTCTGTAGTTGCTGCTGGAATCATCTGCTTAAAGCAAAAACTGAATTTGTAATGTCAGTAAGTTCAGTAGAGGAAAAAGCAGCTAAAGATGTTGAGAGGGGCATGACTGTGCTCTGAATTCAGCTCCTTCTGTATAAAACCAGTGTGAAATAAGCCTTCAGATCAATTTGTGAGTGCATTTTATGTCCATTGCCATAGGTCTTTGTAAGCACTTGAAAATCTCAAAACACACAGTCATCAAATGAAAGATGCTCCAATTGGGGTTATGTTTCTGTTACAATGCACAACAACTTGTTCCAGAGAGATGATTTACAATAATGTAATCCTAAAAAATAATAATAAAAAAAAGGATAAAAAAAGCAGAAAAAATGAAAAAAATAGTTTTTTTTGTTTTCTTTTTTCAGAGTTCTAAAACCTTCCTGAACGGTGCCTCTCGGTGCAGAATCCAGATGCCAACCTTAAATGCTAAGGAAAATGGCAAACCTCAGGTAAAATAGGAAATATTGCTGTAAAATAGCACAGAAGACTTCTTAAGGTTCACATGAAACATTTACTGTTTGTAAAGATTATTCCTCTTTTTATGATGCTGAAATCTGCTTCCATCTTCAGACACAAATGTAGCTTCAGAGGAGGGAACTGAGCATTAGCTGCCATAAATAATGCAAACTGAGCTGTTTGAGATGGCACTGCTTGCTCAATTGGTCTTTTTTATTTTGTGATCTTGACACAATTCCATCAAAAATAATGCACTGCAAAGTGCTTTAAAGGCAGCCCACTTGAAATATTTAAATTATGTATATTTGTCCCGTCCTTGCAGTCTCACTTCTCTCTCTTTTCCTTTCAAAAGCTGTCTGTACCTAACAAGATTATATGTAGAAATGGAGAGTTCTAAATATACACAATTATTCACAAAAATCTTGCTTAAAACTCATAACCATAAGGGCTGCTATTTCTCACTAGAAAATGAATTCTGGACTTGCCCATTTTGTGGACAAAATAGCATTTTATCTTGTGATGGACTTGAACTGAAAATTTCCATTTGAAATTTTGTGTCTGTATTCAGTACACTTGGCACATTGTATCCTGAGAGGATAACTTTTTTTAAACTTCTTTCACACTTTTCCAGGAAAATAGAAACTTCCTGTTCTCTTTATCCTTTGCCCATAGAATAATAATGAGCATTCACAGGGTGGAATAATCAGTGTCGAGGAAAAAGTTTTGAAATTTTTGCTGAGGAAACACTTCAATACAGCTTAAACCCCCTCTGTACTGAGTTTATTATTTTAGTGTGAGCTGCCCAACAACAGTCTCCAGCACAAAACCCATTTGTGTTATTTCACAACCAGCTGGAAGGTAAGGGGAGATGTAAAAATACCAGCAGGTGTCTTTAGACAGGATGGAATTTACAGGAGAAATTCTTTTAAATGTATGGAAGAAAGGGTGGTGGAGCACTGGAATGAGTGGCCCAGAGAAGCTGTGACTGTTCCATCCCTGGAACTGTCCAGAGCCAGGCTGGATGGGGCTTGGAGCAACCTGGGATAGTGGAAAGAGGTGGGAATTGGATGATCTTCGATTCCTTTCCAGCCCCATCCAATCTGTGATTCTAAATCATGATGACAGAGCTAAAAACCCACAGAAATCAGCAAATCAGCAGACAGATTTCCTTTTTAACTCTGCTACTGCCACCCTGTGAAGGGTCTGGCCAGCCAAGGGTGAGGAACCTGCACCCCTGTCCCACTGACTGGTGTCCCTTGGGAGCAGGACAGAGGGACAGCACAGACAATGAACTGGGGGAACTGCTGGCAATCCTGGGAATATCCCCCCTTCTCCCTCTTCCCTGCCAGCTGGGGAATGCTTGTAAGACAGAGTCTCAACAAGGTTTAAAAATAATAAAATCACTAAATCCCCTTCTTTGTTGCTCTTTGGGGCTTCCTGATTTTCTGCCAGTGACAGAAGAACGAGTTGTTCTTGTCAGAGCCAAGCTGAACATCTTCCCCTTTTCATAGGGGTTATTTGGAGCTGATTTTCACAGGCAGCTTTTGAGCCTCTACAAACAGCAGATGTTCTGCATTTATGCCTTGGTCTCCAAGCACACTGGAATGGCAGCTTTTACTGGGTTTTCATTGACCTCTGCAATTACTGTAAAAAGGAAGCAAATACTCAGGATCTGCAGTGACTGAAAGCAGAATGTGGTTTTGGCTGCGTGACCTGAATAACTCTGTGCCTTCTTTGCTGCTTGTGTTAGCTTGGCCTCTTAAAAATGACACAAAACTGGGGGATAATGAATCCTTCCCCAGAGATCAAGAGTGTGCCATATGCCTAATCATGCTCTAGACAAGTGGGCAAAGCTGTACAAGTCACCTCTGCCAAGCACAAACTGCTGGGTTTATTTATCCTTTAGCTCTGTGCAGCATAAAAACCCCCAAATCATTGACTAAAGTTTCCAGCATGAGTTTAAATAAGTTATTTAGACTTTGGTCACCTCTGCTTCAATATTTACCCGCTCTTCTAAAACAGATTGAGAGCTGCTTGTCTGAGAAATGAGCAGCATTGCCTCAGACAGTCCTGGCTGGGTTTGTTGTGCTGATTGTGCAGGAGATACTCAGACACCATCTAGAATCCACTGGGGAGCTTCACTGCTTAAACCCTTCTTTTTTCCCTTCTTTTTCTCCACTCTCTCTCATATTTAAAAAAAAAAATTAATAGCTTATGGTTTGAATTGGTGCTGTTAAAATAGTTCAAGTTTTGAAGTTGCTCCAGTAATTCAGAAGAGAAATATTTTTATGATGATGGAGTGACTCCTGGGCCATGACATAGGTCTGCAGGGCTATGTCAAAGGTCTCTAGATGTTTTTTTGTGTCTTTTGGTTAATGCTTTATCACCTGAGCCCAGACACTGGACTCCTGTATTTCCTGCATCCCATCTAACAATCAAATCTAAAATTTGGATGCTGCATGGCATCTAAAACTATGCTGAGTGTCTGGGCTCAGGTGTCCAGATGGTTCCCTGGTGCCCTTTCCTAAATGATGTTATTTAAAAACTGAATTTATTTAGAAACACTGAGTGTAAAATAGCAGAATTGAATTTTTCCAGCACTTATAGGTTTTTTCTTTCCCCATCAGCTTAGCAAATATTAATCCAAGTTTTCATCTTTGCAATAAGCACTGGAAATGGAACAGCCTGCTGTTATATCCTTTCTAGCCTACAGGCAAATATATATTTGAGGCTTAATTCTTCACTGAGGCTTTGTTCAGATGCTGAAGAATTAGGAGAAGGAAGACAGTGTGTGGAATACATAAATAGGAGAAATGCACAGCTTGGTAAAGCCTCTCAGCAAGCAGGTGAAAGTGAGGATAGCTGCATCCCATCCTTTTTCCAAGTTGGAAAAGAAGTACTGAGGTCTATTTATACCTGATTTTTGGGGGTTTTTTTCTGTGTACAGCTGTAAGATGTAAATTTCCAGTTCTATTCTCAGAGTTCACTTCAGTCTGGTAGAGGATTAAAAATAACATAAACTCTCCTGGCTACACTGGGATGGCTTGTTCTTGTGCAGTGGTAACTTGCTCCACAAGTATTCTTAGCAGCCAGTGGAGTTCTTGAAATAAAATCCTTCCTAGTACTAGAAAAGAACTGAGAATTCACAACTTGGGCAATGCTGGTGAACTCCAGGCTTTTATATTTTGGGGATTGCAATGCTCAAATGGAACAGATTTAAAAAAAAAAAATGATTGCTTAACAGAAAGCACTCACTGTCCATAACTCATGGAAAGATGGCCTGTACTTAGATCAGTCAGTAAGATGATGTTACAGAGCCTGAAAAACTGGCTTAGTATTTGTACAGAAAGAAGATAATACATGATTTTATACAGAAATGTATCCTTGTAGAAATTCCTTTTACACAGTGTTGTAGGACTCAGTAGCTTGTCAGCTTTAATTAGACCACATTTATGTGGTGAGGTGAGGGAAGATTGGAAACTGTTTTATTCCATGGAATGTATTCTTAATATGTGGGGGTTTTGCAACTTGAAATTGTTTTTCAATAGAACAGAAACTTGATTCTATTCTGGAGTGTTTGCACACAGATACCACCTGATATTCTGAATATAGTCTCTACTCTCTCTGTATACTCTGGCTATCCACACCAAGACATTTTTAAAAGCTGTCACTTTTTAAAAACTGTCATTTTTAAATGCTATGACAAATTAGGTACTTGTTTCTAAAAATTATTTTGGAGCTGTGTGATTTCTTGATACATACTTTGTTTTTGTTCTCTTCTCTCTCTTTACCTGTTGCAGGATGCAGAGATGCAGCATTTGCTCAGTGACAGTGAGAACAGCAGCGTGGCCACTGGGGAAGGAAGGCATGGGACATCAGCCATCAGCTTCCTTGGGGCCCTCAGGATACCTGTGAGTGCCTGTGCTGCTCCTCTTCACAATGAAGTTTTGCCTCAGAATCCATGTTTCCATGAAGTCCTAGGTGGGACACTGTGGTGGTGTGTGAGAGTCCCCAGGATGAGGGAAGAGATGAGAATCTTGACTCCATGTTTCAGAAGGCTGATTTATTATCTTATGATATATATTATATTAAAAGAAAATGATATATTAAAGGTATACTAAAGAAAGAGAAAGGAGACATCAGAAAGCTAGAAAGGAATGAATAATAAAAACCTGTGACTGCTCACAGCCTCGACACAGCTGGCTGTGATTGGTCATTAATAAAAAACAATTCACGTGCTGGGTAAACAATTCTCCAAATCACATTCCAAAGCAGCAAAACATGGAGAAGCAGAAGCTTCCCAGCTTCCCAGGAGAAGAAAGGGATTTTTCAGAAAATATGTCAGTGACAGGACAGTAGTGGGTATTAACTTGATATCACACTCTTGAAATGCAGGGGCTTTGGGCTTGATTAATTAGGAGGAAAGGAGGCTGAGAAGGGACCTCACTGTCCCTGCAGCTTCCTGAGGAGGGGAGGTGGAGGGAGAGCTGCTGATCTCTCTCTGAGAATGTTCAGGGGGCATTTGGATAATGACTTTATCAGTGTGCTTCACCTTGTGTCAGCCCTGAAGGGGTCCAGCAGTGGGACAGGGTGCTTGCTGGAGGTCCCTTCTGACTGAAATTGTTTATTCTGTCCTAAAGTCTATTCTGAAAGTTGACTGAACCTAATGGCATGTACTTGTTAAAGGTGGAATAGCAAACTGAGTCCATAAGCACTTCTGTGTGTCAGAACTTCCTTTTATGGCTTCCCTTTTTACATTCCTCAGCATTGTTTTAAAAAACTTAAATCTTAAAATCTCTTGTCTGAGAAGTTTCAGGCAGCCCAAACATTTGGACTGCTGGTAAAGGAAAGGAAGTTTCCTCAAGGTCAGAACCTGTCATTTTTGATTTTCCTCTTGAACTGAAGCCTGAATGCAGAATTAGGATTATTTGCAGATTGATTTGGACAATGTGTAGAGTCAAAAAAAATCCTGCACCCAACCACTGTATTCCTGCATCTTCTCCTCATGTTCAGTCTGGTCCTCTACTGTTTTTCCTGTAGCAGAGTGGAAGTAGTGGGTGACAAATTGCTGCTGCTGCCACGTGGGATTTCTGAAACCCTGTGGGATTTGTCCTGCCTGGTGTTGGGAAGGGTCACAGCTGCATGTGGAGTGTGTGTGCTGTTCCTCAGGGTAACTGCAGCCCTCCATACCAGGGATTTAGGAAATCTGCTTTCAAACAAGAAGTTATCAGATGGTGAAGGGAATAAAGATGGGGTAGTTTAGCTGCAGCTCTGTGCAGTAAATGCACTTGTATGTGCTCAGCAGGAATGAGGATGGAGCAAGTTAGAGCTTTAACAGGTCATTGCTCAGTCTGTGATGTGCTCTTACCACATTCTGGTCTGAACTATGTTACACTGGCTTACAGGCTTTTTACAGAGCTGAACAATAAGGGAAAAATCTTGAACCCATCTGAAGGAAGGAGATAAAGAGCACAAAAATGTGCCAGTTACTCTGGAACACACTCCAAACCTGCTATAATGCTGTAGAACAACTTTACTTAAGGGAAATAAGTGATGCAGGTGTTCCCAAACAGTGTAAAATCCTTCCCCTTCATTTCTGTGTTCTCTGCTCAGGTTATTCAGTGCCATTTTAGTGTTCTCTCTTCAGGCAGTTCAGTACAATTGAAAGGAAACATGTAAGTAAAATAACCACAGTCTGCTCAGAGTACAAGCTTTGTGCTCTCAGGGAAAAAATGCCTCTTGGGAATTCATGAGAGAAAAAGAAAAGCCTAAATGCTTGCTAGAAACCATTTTCATAATGGTCTGTGAAAGCAAATAGCTCTAAGATACTAACTCCCTGTTTTCATTGTTCTCTCAGGGAGTTGTGGAGTTCTCCCTTTGTCTCCTGTTTGCAAAGCTGGTGAGCTACACTTTCCTCTTCTGGCTTCCCCTCTACATCACAAATGTGGGTGAGTATTACAGGAAAGGGGTGCTGGATTATGGCTGCACAGTCTCTGCAAATAGGAGCTTGCAATAAATAAGAAAATAAACATTACTGCTTCTGAAAGAGGCTTTTTTCTGCTGCAGTAGCAGGGGAGTTGTAAGTCACCAAGCAGGTTAATGAATTCAGTGCTATGAGAGGGCATTTTCAAAACAGGCAGAAGTCTCTGTAATTCAGTAATTCCAGGCATAAATGCTGTCTCTTTGGCTCTTGCAAACAAATCAAAAAGTTTTACTTTCTAACAATATTTAAGACTGAAGTGTCCTATTAAAACATACACAAAATAATGTAAATGGGTTTCTTTATCTGTCCAGTACTGCAGTTTTGATCTTTTTATACTTTTAGAGTGCAAGATGGACCAACTTCTTAGCAAGGTCTGTTGTGATAGAAGAAGGGTAATGATTTTAGACTAAAAGGGGAGAGATTTAGACTAGATATAAAGAAGAAATCTTTTGCAGTGAGGGTGCTGAAATGCTACAGCAGGCTACCATAGAACCTGTGGATGCCCATCCCTGGGAACGTTCCAGCTCAGGCTGGATGGAGCTCTGATCTCATTGAAGATGTCCCTGCTCATGGCAGAGGGGTTGGACTGGATGACCTTTGAATATCCCTTGCAACCCAGTTCTGTAATTCTGTGATTATAAAAGTGGTAAAATGTAAAATGTCTCTTCCAGTGAGAGCAATTGCATTCAAAAGTCTGTATTGCTGAATACCTACTTTTGTTCTTATTTCTTTTACACAACATCACCTTATTGTGGATTATCTGAATGAAGAATTCTGCTGTAAGATGCCTTTGCCCTGGCATTACAAGACTGCTGAGATTTCCATGTCTTGTAGTCCAGAAATGAGACAAATGTTTTGCTTCTCTCACCAGAGCATCTTGATGCCAAAAGAGCTGGGGACCTTTCTACGCTGTTTGATGTGGGTGGGATCTTCGGTAAGTTTTAATGTTATTTCACTCCTGATCACACCAGTTCAGGAAAGGCTCTGGTGTACACAGCTTACATATTTTATAGCTCATATTCATTATTTGTACTGTAGGAGAGCAGCAGTAAAGGTACTGAGCTGAGAGTTGAAAAGTGAAAATCTAGTAAAATACCTTCACAGCCAGTGCTGCTGTCCAATACAGATCAGAATAGACAAAATATGGAATCTTTCATCTCCATCAGCTCTGGCCCATAAGTCCTGGTCACCACCTAGCAAAATACTTCTTTTTCTCAATCTAACTTAAGATTAGTGGTTAATTTCCACAGGTGTTTTGGTTTGTTTTTTCCTTGATGCTTTATATAGATGTATGTCATAAAATTGGGAGATCATAATAATAATAAGGACTAGGCTATTCCTGTATCATTTTCAGGGTGACCACTGAATAAATTTTAATGCCAATGCAGACAATTTAGTTTGTTTGCCTGGCTGCAGAGAACCAAGTTTTCTCTTGCATGTGAGACCAGTGAGTGAATACCAGAACTCCAGCAGCAGGGCCATGTGGCACCTGGTAGAAGGCTTTTTGCTTTGGATATTTGAAATAAATAATAAGGAGAAACAAGTTCTGGTTCTGTTGTCTTCAGGTCAAAAGTGGTTGGGTTCATGAGGATGTTGCTGTATGAATTGTGTAACTATGCAGCAAAAACCAATGGATTCTCTTTAATTAAATTAAACTGATGTCTTTTGTGCAAAACACACCCTGAATGTTTTCCTCACACCTGTGTGTTCTTTCAGGTGGGATCTTGGCAGGTCTGATTTCAGACAGGCTGGAGAAGAGAGCATCAACCTGTGGAATGATGTTGCTGCTTGCAGCACCCACAGTAAGAGCCTGCCCCTGTCCCACAGCTGTGACACCATTCCCTGGACAGTTCTGCAGGCAGCATCTCCCAGCCTGGATCTAAACAGTCCAGGCCAGATTAAAAACTGGCATGAAAAGTTGAGCAAGTACAGATATTGGGGCTTAACAAGCTTGTTTACTAAACAAGTCTTATGTATGAAAAGTTTCACTCTCTTGTAAAATCTGATGTTTAGCTGTTAGCCAGAATTTTAGGCTAAAATTTCTGAGCTGTAATTGCTGGAAAACTAGCAGATTGACATGAGAGAGACATTTTTATTTGATGTTTTTAATGAGTTGTATTCTGTGCTGTGTTAAAGCTGCAATTGGAGATTTAAAATTGAGTGGTCTCATAACACTCTTCTTTCTTAAAAGACATAGAGGAATGGGATTCTACCCCTTATCTCCCTTCTGTGTCCAATCAAACAGTCCTTCTACTGTGGCCTGAAAGGGTTTAGTAAAACCTGGAACTTTCATGTAATGCCAATTAAAATATCTTGTAGTTAACATGGGGCAAATGGAGAACCCAGGATTAGTCCATATGTTGGTATTCTGAGTGCTTGTTTATTCTCTTCCCAGCTCTACATGTTCTCTGCAGTCAGTAAAATGGGCCTTGAGGCTACTGTAGGTGAGTATTCTTAAATTATTCTGCCTGGCTTTCTATGAACTTTGATGCTTTTTCTATTTTATCTTTTGTTTTCTATTTTATCTTTTCCTTAGAGGAGCAAGTATGGAATAAAATTCTTAAATTTGGTCTTGTAGGCTTTTTACAGGTTGAAGTAGGAAGATAGAAAATCAGTAAGAGGTGACAAGAGAACAGATCTAATTAATATCATTAGTCTTCCTGGAGCTTGTTGTGTCAGCACAGGCTTTTTTATATCCCTTGTGTCAAATGTCAGAGATGTTTAAATATTGCCTGTAGTGCTTTTGACAGCAGCATTAACTTCACTTGAGTAGGCAGAATTCACCTGTGGCTTTGTGTGTGTGCCCTCAAACCAGAAATGGAAGCAGGAGGGAGGCAGTGCTGTCTCAGCTGCCTGAAGGGCTCCTTCACTTTCAGGGTCCTCTGCTGCTCTACAAGGAGAGAAGGGACTTGTGGGTGTTATCTTGTGAGCACCCCCTGCCCTCATGGCCAGTTTGGGCAAATATTCCCCTTTCTGTGGCCTCCCAGGATCACTAAAGACCCTGGGAAGTGCCTTTTGTCTCAGCCCCATCTGCTGGTACGTTTGAGAATTCACATCATGGAGTGAGTGCTGAAAAGAGAGAGGAAGGGATGCTGGTTTTCTTTCTTTCTTTCCCAATTTTGGGTCAGGGGAGCCAGGGAAGGATGAAACCATTTGGGAGCCATGGGCTGTGCTGTCCCCTGTTGTTATGGTGAACAGTTTCTTATGCAACTCTGTGGCATTCACATTCTCTGAAAAATCCCTTTGCTCAGGATTTTTCTCCTGGGAACCTGAGAAGCCTCAGAGAAAAAGGAAAACAATTCTTATCTTATTTGCTTCTCTTCTGTTTTGCTCATGTGGAATGTGTTTGGAAATTGTTTACCCACAGGTGATTGTTTAATTGGATTCTACTGTGAGTTGTTTTCACTCTTTGGCCAATCAGGGCCAAGCTGTGTTGAGACTCTGGAGAGAGTCACCAATTTTCATTATTATCTTTTTAGCATTCTTCTGTATCTTTTCTGTATTCTTCAGTATAGTTAGTTTAGTATTATTTAATATAATATAGTATCATAAAATAATAAATTAGCCTTCTGAGAACATGGAGTCAGATTCATCATTCCTGCCCTGGGGCACCCTGCAAATACAATACAACTCACATTTTCTTCTTCTTTTTTTTTTTTTTTTACTTGGAACAGTGATGCTGCTTATCAGTGGTGCCCTGGTGAATGGCCCTTATGCCCTGATCACCACTGCTGTCTCTGCTGACTTGGTGAGTTTGGCTTTCCCTGTGACATTTGGCCTCCAGGAGAGCCCTTTGACTTCTGCAGGGTCACCAGGGAAGGGGCTGCATTGGCCCAAAGCAGAGGAGTAAGGAGATGGAAAAAGGAAATGCTAAACTCAGCCACTGAGATTTGTTTTAGAATTTGTGTTTTAGTGTGAGTGCCATGCTTTTGAGAGGCTTCTAAATTATTCTTGACCACTCACAAAACTGTGGGTGACAGCCCAGAGTGAGTCTGAAGGCTTGCATGCAAAGCCTGGCCTCTGTGCAGGTGCCTTGGCCCCGTTTATATTTTGCATTTTTAAATGATTAGGGGAGCTGTAGCTGTGTGAGACATGAGCTGGTGATTTAATTCCCATCAGAAAGTTCTATCTGGCACAGACCTTAACACAAGTAAAGGTGTGTGAAAATAAAAAGTCCAGGTACTTAAGCTGCCAGCACTTCCAGCAAGATCAGGTCAGCCAAGTCACAAATACCATGTGAAAACACCAACATTGCTCAGCAGGGAGACTTTGGAAGTTTGTTTTGTAATGTGTTGGTTCCTTAGGGCACCAAGCAAGAGGCAAAAGTCCTCTTATTGTCTTAAATGCAGGGATGTTTTAAATACAGGACAAGGAGCAGGGCAGAAATCTCCAGGCATCCTCTGGAGCCCTGCCCTTGGCCTGGAGGTGTTGGCAAGGTGACCCCAGGCAATGCCCACTTCATCCTTGGCCTTGAGGCATCTCCCCAGCACAGAGCCCATGGGAGGGGTGGGAGGTGGGTGCTGTTATCAGGGCTCAGCTCAGCGTGGGTCTGAGCCATCTCTGTCCCCCCAGGGTACCCACAAGAGCCTGAAGGGGAACGCAAGGGCCTTGTCCACGGTGACGGCCATCATCGACGGGACAGGATCTGTGGGTAAGCCAGGGCCACCTGCCCCAGCTCTGACAGCTTACAACAAAGCATTTCCAAAAAACTGGGCTCTTCAGGTCACATTTGGCCAGGGCTCAGAACAGTTTTGGAAATGGGGAATAGCACGAACTTCACATGAAACCTCCAGTGGTCCCACAGCTGAGGGTGGGAGGAAGGGGCATGTCACTGACATATTTTCTGAAAATACCTTTGCCAGGAACTTTCTCCCGAGAGGCTGAGAGGCCTCAGAAACGAAATGTAAACAATGATTATCTGATTGCTTAGAATGTGGTTTGGAGGGTGCTTCCCAACAGGTGCACTTTGATTGGTTCCATGTGAATTGCTTTTCCTTGATGACCAATCATGGTCCAGCTGTGTAAGACTCTCTGGTCAGTCACAAGATTTTATTCTCACTCCTTTCTAGCCTTCTGATGTCTCCTTTCTCCTTCTTTAGTGTAGTTTTGGTATATCATTTTCTTTTAATATAATAGAATATCATAAAATAATAAATCAGCCTTCTGAAACATGGAGTCAAGGTTCTCATCTCTTCTGTCATCCTGGGGACCCTCAAACACCACCACAGGGGGGGATCACTGTGAGGCCTTAGGTTTTAGCTTTCATATTTTCCAGGTTATGTACTGCATTAGTACAGAACTCTGAACTTCATAGAAAGTGTTAGCAAGTTCTCTTTGCAGTTTAATTAGATAAAACAATCCTTTTCCAGCCCCAGAACCAAGGACACTGTTGCAGGTTCAGGCCCAAAAAGTGCAAACAACTGCAAACTGAAGAGAGCAATCTGGGAGAATGGGACTGCATAACCTGGAGCTGTAATTGGACAATTAACCCCAACATGGAAATGGACCAAAACATAAAAGTGTGAAAACTCATGGCCATCTTAGGTGTAGCCCCAGCCAGGCTCTTGTACTGCCCAAGGTGTATCCTTTGAAGGCCTTTTAATAAATCCCTGCTTTATTCCTTTGATACTGCCTAGCCTCTGTCCAGGCAGCCTCTCAAAGCATCAACTGGGCACAGACAGCAAAAGGAGATGGCACTGGGCTGTCCTGGGATCAGGGATATTTTATTTATGCCCTCCATGTGGAAGGGAAGACTGAGTAAAATTCAGCTTAATACAGGATGAGCATGTTGTTGAGCCAAAGGCAGGTGTTTGTCACACATCTAACTCCTCCAGCTCCCCATCTGTACCAGTAAAGTTTTTGCACTTACTGGGACTTTTAATGCATCAGGTTTAATACTGAGTTAACTAGGTGGAAAAATGGATACTCTAATTCAGAATAACTGCATTTCAGTTCAGTGAATCTTACATTGCACAGTTCTGGCAGTATGTAATATAAAATACCAAAATAAAATGCCAATATTGTATTTCAGGTGCAGCTTTGGGGCCTCTCCTGGCTGGCCTTATTTCTCCTTCTGGTTGGAACAATGTGTTTTACATGCTCATGGTGGCAGATGCATGTGCCTTGCTAGTAAGTCTAAAAATTTGGATGATGTGTATTTCCTCTGTGCTAAACTGTCCCAAAATGCAAATTGTCCTTTTGCCATTTCAATATCCTGTATTAGACTTCCAGTGGTGTAGGAGATTTTCAGTCTAACAGCAAATTTGCTTGTTTTGAAATTCTTATCTAATTTTAATCAAAAGTGCAGATCAGTTCTGATGAACTTCAATTCCTGAGCAAATACCCAGCTGTTAATTGCTGGCTGAGCAGCTTAGAGCAGGCATAATTCAAATAAATCCTCACATTTAGACCTAGAAATTGCCTCAGATTCCACTCATGGAACAATCACTTCTGTTGCCTTTAAAGCCAGTTTCTCAAAGCCATAAAAACTATTTCCTACATTGCTGTATCACCAAAATCACCCTGATAATGAAGCTGTTGAAAGTTAATGCATCACATTTTCCAGATGGGCCCTGAGACAGCTGTACTAAATTAGATGAAGAACTGGCAGTCCTGGCTTTTGACAGTAGCCAGGAGCAGATGTTTGGGGCAAGAAGAGAAGAGCACACAGGTGCTGGCTTGGTCCAAAGCACTGAGCTCTGGGCTCCTGCAGAGGAGCTGAGAGTGTCAGACCATTGCCTTCCTGACACTAGAAAATCAGGAAGCCATTGAGCTACAACTGAGGCTTTTTTTTTTCCTAAATATAATTTAAACCCCAATTTTAAAACTAATTTTTTCATGGTTAGGGGTATATATTAAATATATATATTATATATAATAAATATATATTTTTTCATGTGTAGGAGTATAAATTAAATAAATAAATTAGGTAAGTTGATAGCTGAAGTGTGTTGCCACTGGTAGTCAGCAGCTTGTTTCAGTATTTGCTATTTCATGCTGCAGAGTGAGGCTTGGGAGGTTGTCATATTTTTCCTAGATAAAGTTAACGTCGTTTTTCTCTTACAGTTATTGATTAAAGTGAAAATAATGTCACATTTCTTTGAGGACTCAATTAAAACACCTTTTCAAAGCTCTGGTTTTAAGAGGTTTGGCTCTGCAGTTGCAATAAATCCTTTTTTACATAAGTGTTCTGCTTTTCCTGGTTTTTGCAGTGCAGCACATGGATACCTGTGTTCAAATGTTATTTCTCCAAGGGTACCTGGAGAGGGCTTTATCCTCTTATGTGCCATTCAGTTCTGTCATTCTTGGCCACTTCTGTGCCTCTGAAAATATTTAACTTCTTAATACATTCATACTTACAACAGTGAGCAAACTTAATTTACAACAGTGAGATTCTGAGGATGATGCAACCTGAAATAGTGAGGAGCCCTGAAAGCTCCAGTTCTGTCTTTAATGTACATGAGAACCATCCAATTGTATTTGTGAAATCACTTTCCTGCTATTATCTGAATAATCCTTTTAAAGTGTATTGAAATCCCTGATGCTGCACAGACACCTAAATGTGAACTGCCTGTACCCACCTTGACTAATTGTGGGAATAAAGCTTTTCACACACACTTGTTTTTGCAAATAGCAGCTAAAATTTCTTTCTGACACGTTTTCTTGAAGCCTCGGGGTCCCTCTGCTGGTTTCTTTACACATTTGCTGGTAAAGTAAAACCAGAAAACCATTGTGGTTTTTATAAAGAAATTGATCTCTCAGATGCAAAAAGGAAATTATTTTCCTCTGGCCTGCTTGTTGTGAAAGCTCCTCTACCAAACATTACTGAGCATCTCTAAATCTTTATTTTTTTTAAACCCAGTTCAGCATTGCAGGGTAATGTTTCAAATGAGAAACTCTCCAAATAACAATGAGTAATTCTGCTTCTTGTTTATCTGGATGATACTAAAGGAGATTTTGTGATTGTTTTTGCAGCTCTTACTCCGTCTTATCCAGAAGGAACTTCAGTGTCATGCAGATCACACCCTGTAAGTGTTTTTTATGGCTGCTGCTCTTGAGTAACACCTTGAAAACACATTTCTGAGCCTTCCATATATAGCCATAAATGATCATTAAGGGTGGAAAAAACCTCCAAGATCAATTCCAACCTTTGTCCCATAATACCTAAATGTAGACTGGACATGTTAAGGTTTGTGCAGATCCATTTCTGTCTGGTTTAATTCTGCTTCAAAACAGTAACCTCAGTTTGATGTTTTCAAACCATGGACATTTTCCTTTAGAACATCTATCAAAAAATATCTTAAAATGCCTCTGTCACAGTCTCTTGTTTGTGGGGGCTTTTTTTTCCCAAAATATTTAATCCTCCATGGGTTTCCTTGTGCAGGTGGGGAATTGCCTGCCCTGTGTTTAATAATAGTTTAAAATGTAACTTTTTCCAAAAGCTCTCCTTAAAGAAAAGGGTTAGTCTGAATTTCAAACTGAGAAAAAAAGAATTCACTGAATCCAGACACAAAAACTAAATTGAGCCCCTTGATTGTAGAATATTGGAGAAGTAAAATGGAGAGAATAGAAAAGCGCACAGCAGGGGCTGGACTCTGCCTTTTGGTGTCTGTTCTGCCTCACACCTCAGCTTTTCCTGCCTGGTTGCTTTTCTCCCCCAGGTTCAAAGAGCACTGAGCTAGCAGAGCTGGGATCAGGAGTGTGCCAGTGGATGGAGCTGCTCCCTGAAATCCCAACCCCATGGGACACCTGACTGTGTGTTTGAAGGCTCTCTGGGTGGTGAAGAGCCTTGCAGGTTTGCTGGGGGCAGTGTGAGACATGGTGAATCCCTGGAGCTCTGATTTTTGCACATGAATAATACCTCAGGATGGCCACTGCTCATCACAGAAGAGATGGGGACTTGGGGAAGGTTTCAGCAGCATGCCTCAACTGAGCCAAAGAGAAATACCAAGTGCCTTTTTTCTTTCTTTTGATAGGATGTTTTTAATTGAAACTATGAACTGTGTAATTGCCAACTATCAAGGCAAAGCTAGAGCAGGAGGAAGTTGAAATTTCAACAGTCTGTGAGTGACTGTGCCAGGGTCAGTGAGCAATGTGTCTCTTATGTCATCTGTGTACACTGAGAGCATCACTTTATAGAGGACAATATCAGCTGGCTATGAAGATGTGCTGCCATTAGGGTTTGAAGCTGCTCACACAATAATCACCTGGCTGTGTTATGAGTGCTTAGCTACAGTTCTACTTCCCAAGGACAGCATCCAGCCTTTTGGTAGGTTAGAAAATAGAATTTACTCTTGCTGTGTACTGCAGTTAGCAGTTTTCACAGATCCTCTGGATGGATGTTAGTCCTCCATTAGGATGATGCAAAAAAAATTAAAAAAAAAAGAGTCCTGAGTAACAAAAAGCAGTTTATGAGTCAGAATTTCCAGTGGGGGCTCTAATGATTTTTCAGGGCATTATAAAATGGTTGTGCATTTTAACTTCCCTGCCAGGCTGGGCTGACATGAGAAGGGTTTCTTTGGGGTGGCAGAGAGCTGTGAGCTGAGCTGTGTGAGCAGCACAGGACTGAGCAGGGGGAGCTGCTCTGGTGCCCACTGGCACAGGGGTCCCTGTTGGTTTCCAATGCTGGTGTATGCACGTGGAAATCATCATCAGATCTGGGCCTTAATATCCAGAAATCTCTCTCAAGTGGCTCTGGGTTTCAGATTTGGAGCCAAAATATCAGAGAAGAAAAATTACCTGTGTGGGTGGTAGTTTGTAAGAGAACATTTGAGTACCTAGTGCTACCCAGAAAATAGATGGTGTAATGTGTTCAGAACATATAATTTCTTTGTATAGCTGTCTGCTTTGCAAACAGAATGTTTCTGTGATTTTATTTTGCCTTTTTTAAGATGTACAAAGTGAAAAGAAATCTTTTTTTTGTATGGGGTGTTTATACTTAAATCACAAAGATTAGGTAATTTAAACTGTGTGTTACCCTTAACTGTATTTATTAAAACTCTAGGCCTTTGTCTTGCTCTATGCTCTTTAAGTTTTGTGAGACAGTGCAAGAGTCTTTACACTTGATTAGCAAAACACTTCAAAAGCCCTGCAAAATATTCAGGAATGTCCCATCAGCTGCTGCTAACACGTAATTTCCAGGGCTGTTTTGTACCTGCTCAGTCTTTGAGTTGCTTCTGCTGGTTTGTGCTTCATGCTTGACCTGGGCAGTGTCAGGCTGGGCTCAGTTTTAGCTGTTGAGCTGGGCAGAGGTGCAGGGATGACCCCACAGGGACTTGGGGAAGGTGCCAGGTCCTTGCAGGGAGCTCTAGGAGGGTCCTGTCCCTGCACTTTATGGATGGAAGGTTGACTTCACATATTTGGAGTGAACCAGGGGGGATTCTCAACAACTGAGCTCAGAAATCTGTGCTGTGCTTGGGCTGTGGTTAAATGTGTCAGAATTGAGCAGCAGTGTTACTTGGAAGGGTTTCCACCCTCCTGGAATGGGAAACTGCTCCTGGAATGTCCAACTGCTCCTCACTCAACCAGGCTGAACCGGGGGCACTGCTGAAACAGCCTCTGATGGGCAAAAATAACATTGCAAGCCCAAAACAGCTGTCCTGGCACAACTGCAGTGCCTGTGTGGGGAGGGAGAGATGGAGGGAGGATCACTTTAGCTGGGGATTCCAGTCCCCTTCCCCAAAAATATGTGTAGAGCTTTATACTAGTTTATTGAAACAGTTCAAGCTCTGCTGTGCTCAGATTTTGAGAAGCTGTTCCCTGTGGGCTGAAGTGTGATGTTAAAAAGCTTTTGGTTGTATTTCTGAAGATATTTAAGTGTGTTTTGGGTTTTACTTGTTGGGGCTGCTGCTGTTATTTATTTATTTATTTGAATAGCTTTTGCACTGCAGTAACTCGGGTATGGGGTAATGACAGATTACATTTCAGTTCCTCCAAGATACAAATTTGCTGGACAAGAAAATTTGTTTTTCTATTTTAAAAAACCCTGAAGGTCCCCCAGATAGTGAATAAACTGTGTGTTTTGTTAGTATCAGGTGTTTATATCTGGAAATGGGCAAGACTGACAAAATTTTGTATGTCAAAATGTGAGTGACCAGTAGGTACAGCCAAAATTAAATGTGTCTGCAGGGTTGGTTTGTTGTTTATTTTTTTTTAATGCTGATTATTGTGATTTTTATCCATTCACCATCCTGTATTGAATAAAAATAGATTCTATTCTAAACAGAGAAGTGTTGAGTATTTTATCTTTTACCATCTCCATGAAGAAATGCTCCATTTATTGGTTGGAAGGACAAACATCCCTGCTGGGACTGTGTCAAATTTGGGCTGAGTGTGGCTCCTGTGGTGAATTTTAAGGTGACTTTTTTTGTTGTCTGCTTTGCTCTTCAGTGTATATAGAATTGACATGGAAAAGCTTCATCCTTTATCTCTAGCACTGCTCATCTCCAACATTTATTGTCTTGATTCTGTAATAATGTTTGAGGGTTTTTTGTGCCTCTGCCTGACATACAATGTCCAAACCACAGATGCATTGGGGGAAAAATGATTGGAAAGGAAACCAACTTCTGGTTACAGAATTTCTGATCAAAATGTGCCTGAGGTCCCTCCTAGGAATAGGCAAATAATAGCTGGGGTGCTTTATAAAAGAAAGGAGACTCAAATCCCAGTTTCTGTTCTGCCTGATGGGGAGCAGGAGCCTCCCTTGTGAAAATCTTTGTGAAAGCCTGGCTGTTGCTGGACAGGCTGAGGGGGGTTTGTCTCTGTGTGTGGAAGGGTTTGTAGGGTGGGAAGAAGGTAAATCAGTAGCAGGGACAGCAGTGCTGTGCTCATAAATTGCTTTGTGACTCCTTTTGCCTGTAAGTTCTACAAACCCACTCCGTGCACCAAGACTTAATCCCGTGTGTTTTGCTAGTAAAGGAAATTCCAGAGGGGATTCTGCCATTCCTTTAAGGAGATTATTGCATGTGCTTCTGGCATAGCATCCTTAGAATGGGATGGGAATCCTCCACGAGTGCTGTGCCAGGGCTGTGCTGCCTCAGACTCTGGCTGAACTCGTGTTTGGGCTCAGTTCTTTGGTTGCTGCTGGAAGGTTTCTGCAGCAGCTGATGCCTGGGGTGGTTTGTGCTGCTCAGGATTAGGCAGGTGTAAGAGGGGGTAAATTAAACCAGAGGGTGTTTAGAGCTGTTGGAGGCTGATGGATTTCATACAGAATTAATTTGGGGAAGATTTACCAGAATTCTATCAAATGACGAGGCCCAGGATGGGTGATGGTGGCAATCTCTGCTCTGAACTAAATGTATGGCCTGTGTATGATGTAAATGTTAGATTAGATTATGTCATGGTTTGTCCCAGGCTCTGACAGGATCTTCTGATTGCTGACCTGTGCCCTTTTCACCTTGGAGCAAGGCTAGTTTGGTTTTGTTTTGAGCCAGCCAGGGGATGGTGGGGACACTCCTGCCCTGCTGTCACACCTGGCAGGGGATGCTGGGGACATGGGACATGGGACATGTCCTGCCCTGCTGTCACAGCCTGCAGGGATGCTGGGGACATGGGACACTCCTGCCCTGCTGTCACAGCCTGCAGGGATGCTGGGGACATGGGACACTCCTGCCCTGCTGTCACAGCCTGCAGGGATGCTGGGGACATGGGACATGTCCTGCCCTGCTGTCACAGCCTGCAGGGATGCTGGGGACATGGGACACTCCTGCCCTGCTGTCACAGCCTGCAGGGATGGTGGGGACATGGGACACTCCTGCCCTGCTGTCACAGCCTGCAGGGATGGTGGGACATGGGACACTCCTGCCCTGCTGTCACAGCCTGCAGGGATGCTGGGGACATGGGACACGTCCTGCCCTGCTGTCACAGCCTGCAGGGATGGTGGGACATGTCCTGCCCTGCTGACCCTCCTGGGGGTTGTGTCTGCTGCTCTGGGGACCTTGAACTACATTTGCTGCCATGCTGAGTTAAAAATGTGACTGTCACCCTTATGGCAGGGAGAGGGAAGCAGGGTTTAACTGCTGGTAGAATTCAGCCTCATGTCCAGTGACCTGAGGTGCTGGGTTATGTCTCACTGCCCAAGAGTTTCATAAACTGGGTTGTTATAAAGTGTTAGTTGTTTCCTCCTTTATCTCCCTTCTTTTGGTTAATTTCCAGTTTGGAATAAGGAGATAATTAGTTGATGCTTGGGGTGGTTTTTTGGGGTTTTTCTTTTCCTCTGTAATTCCTTTGTCTACCAGTTCCCCTTTGGCTGCTCTGTAAACTGGGAATACAAGAGCCAAAGTTGCTTTAGCATATTTCAGGATCCTGCTCCACTCCTGCATCAGGAGATCAGCCATGAAAATGTGTGCCAAGTCTCTTGATGCTGTACTTAAGGATGTTTTCTTCACCTCATGCTGATACTGGGGTGGGATTTCTCTCCCTCCTTCTCTTAGAAAGCAGCTGACAAATACCCACATTTCCACCATGTTCCCTTTGGTCCAGTTGTTTGTTTCAGCAGAAGAGGACACTAAACCTATTTCACATGTGCTGCCATGTAGGAATGAACTTTGGAATGCTGTTACAAGGCTGGAGTTATTCTCAGTTTATCTGGTACCTAAACCCTGAACAGGTGGTCAGAATTTCATGGGTTATTCAGAAACCAGCAGCTGCTCCCAGCCTTGTGGCCAGAACTGGAAGCAGCAGCCTGAGCTGGGATGTTGAAACAAAGTGATCAATAATAATGTCTGAGCTCTCAGCTTCTCCTCCCTGTGATGTGAAGGGTGGTTGGTGTGGGCAGCCCCTCACAGCTGAATGGAACAGGAGAAACCTTTGGAAGGGGTGAGTTCCCTCTGAATCCTCCACCAAACATGCTGCTGTTATTTCTGCTGCAAGGACAGAGTGTCATACTCCAGTCTGAGTCACCCAATTTCACCACAGGCCACATGAGGCTTCAGCTTAGTAAGTACAGCAGGTTCTGAATTGTATTCTTAAATTGCTCAGATCATCTGGTTGGAAGCAGCTGAATGTTGTGTCCTTCTGTGGCAGAATCTGCAGGTTTAGTTTTGTACTGAGAGGTAACAATGGGATTCAATTTAGCCATTATTGTTAAAAGTCTTTATAAAATCCTCCTCCCCCTCTCCCTCTGCCTGCAGCTTTTCAGTGACATGAAAGGAAGACAATATGGTAAAAAAAGAACAAAAGAGGTAAAAAAATACCTTCAAAGCATACTCTTTCTTCCAAATTTTGGTGGTCACTTGCTTGGCACCAAGGGAGATCCACTATCACAGCTGGTTTGTGTGTCTGCCTGTAAATCTGTGCAGTTGCTGAAAGCAGAGAAAAATAGAAACCTTTGGGTTTCCTTGCTCTGATTTTCACAGTGGCAGCTCTCAAAATAGATGTTCCCAGCCCAAAAAGGCAGAGCCAGGGTGACTGACAAATCTGGGGTGCAGGCAGAGAAGCCCAAGGATGTTTGGTTTGGGACAGATACCTGTGTTACAGCTAAATTAGATAGATTAAATTCCCATACAAATCATTGCCAGGCATATCATGAAGCTCTAAACTTACCCCAGGTGTCAGCAAATAATCTTCTGAGGAGGCTGAAATCCAGCAAAGCACCTAGAAATGGAGCTGGAATGGATGAAATCCCCTGAACATCTGAAGCAGAGCTAACACAGGCATTTCTCAGAACAATATTCACTGTCATTTGAAATGAGACCTCCTGGAAGAAAGGTTGCAGATGATGTAATCCTTACAGTAACAGGGAAAACAAACCTCCCCTGTTTGCCTGCTTGAATTCTTCTGATGAAATAATGCATCTGTCAGAGCAGCATCCAAATGTCATCCCTCTGTGTCATCAAAGGGGAAATGTTATTCCAAAATGCAGACTGGTTCCCATGCACAGGGTTTTTTCAGGCTTCCCAGACCCATAAAAGCAGTCAGAAGCTATGATTAGCAGCCCTGGTACATTCACCTTATGCATCTCTGTAAACATCAGGAGCTGCCTTCTGCATTGTTTTTGCTGTCTCTGTTTTTCAGGCACAATTGGAATTGTCTACTTAAATGGGTTCTGCTTGGAACAGCAGCCAAAAAAACCACCCCCATGATAAACTGCCTTGCTGGTCTTATTTTTGAGGGGAAAAAAAAAGGCAAAAAAATAAGATGTAGTGCTGTGTGCCTTCCATGCAAGTTTA